ATCAAATTTCTTCCACAATGTGCGCCAGAAGTGACTTAAAAACTTGACATCGCGATCTGACACAATGGACTTTGGAATTCCATGGAGACGAACTATGTCCCTAAAAAATAAGGTTGCTATAGCAATGGCATCGGAGGTCTTTTTACAAGCCACGAAATGTGCCATCTTGCTAAAGCGATCCACCACCACCAATACCAAATCAAATCCCCGCTGTGTTCATGGAAGTCCTAAAATAAAATCCATCAAAAGATCTTCCCATATACTCTTGGGTATTGGTAAAGGTGTATAAAGCCCAGTATTTTGTGTTGTTCCTTTGTAAGTTTGACAAGTAAAACACTTAGTGACATAGTTAGAGACATCTCGGCGTATATGTGGCCAATAGAAGCGTGAAGGTACTATATCCAAAGTTTTATCACGACCTAAATGCCCCGCAAGGCCACCCGCATGGGCATCTCGTAGAATAGCCTCCCTTAAGGAGGTATGAGGAATACATAGAGCATTTCCTTTAAATAGGTATCCTTCCACAATATGGTAGTCTTCGATAGGCATATGAGTTGAACATTTGTGCCAAATGTCTTGGAAGTCTTTGTCAGTTCCATATAAATCAGGAAGATAGTCAAAGGCAATAATCTCGCCTTTAAGGATGGTTCAAAGGCTGTTTTTCCGGCTTAAGGCGTCTGGTGCCTTATTAGTTGTTCCCGCCTTGTGTTTAATTACAAACTCAATTCGTTGTAAAAAGGACAACCAACGGACGTGCATACGACTAGTTGTTTTTCGAGTATGCAGAAATTTTAAGGAGAAATGATCCGTAAACAAGACAAATTCTTTACTTAATAGATAATGCTCCCACTATTTCAATGCTCGGACAAGGGCATAAAGTTCTTGCTCATAAGTGCTCCATTTTTTACGGGATGGGCTAAGTTTTTCGCTAAAATATTCTAAAGGATGATTGTTTTGAGATAAAACAGCTCCTAATCCCAGATGCATCTACAGCCACTTCAAAAAGTGAATCAAAGTTTGGTTTTGATTATTTGTAAACTATCTATTTGTGATTGTCCCCACGAAAATTGTCCCTTTTTAAGGCAGTTGGTCAAAGGAGCTACGATGGAACTAAAGTGTTTTATAAATTTCCTATAGAAGGAAGCAAGCCCTGGGAAACATTGGACATCCCTTACCGTTTTAGGTTCACTCCAATCAGCTATAGCTTGAACTTTAGAAGGGTCCATTTTTACTTGATTATGACCAATGATAAAACCTAAGAAAGATATTTCGGGTGTGACAAAGAGACATTTTTTAAGATTGATCACAAGTTTATTATCTGCTAATGTAGAGAAGAGTAACCGAAGGTGGTCTAAGTGATCATGCATAGTAGTGCTATAGATGAGAATGTCATTGAAATAAACAACAATAAATTTGTTAATAAAAGGAAACAAAACCTTATGCATGAGCCGCATGAAGGTACTTGGAGCATTAGATAATCTGAATGGCATAACAAGCCATTCAAACAACCCCTCGTTTGTCTTTAAGGTTGTTTTCCACTCATCTCCCAGTCTGATTCGAATCTGGTGGTAGCCACTTTTGAGATCCACTTTAGAAAAGATTGTGGCACCTCCTCATTGATCTAGTAGGTAGAAGATCCAGGGTATTGGAAATCGGTATTTGACTGTGATTTTGTTTATAGCATGGCTATCAACACACATTCTCCAAGTACCGTCCTTTTTTGGAGTCAACAAAGCAGGCACGACACATGGACTTAGACTAGGCTGTATATGCCCTATCTCAAGTAATTCATGAATTTGGTCATGAAGTATTTTGTACTCGGAAGGGCTCATTCTATAATGTGCTAGATTAGGAAGAAATGCCCCTGGAAAGAAATCAATATTGTGTTGTATGTTTCAAAGAGGGGGTAATCCAGTCAGTGTTTCTATAATAGTTTCAAATTCGGTCAATAATTGTTCTACAGCCGGCGGAACAAAAGAACCAGCATTCTTGGCATCAAAATCTTTTATAATCAAACCGAGGATAGGTTCTTTAGGCTGTCCTAGGAGCTGTGTTGCCGAACAAATGGTAAATAGGTTACCTTTCCCTTTGTCACTATCCTTCAAAGGAAGGGACTTGGAGGGATTTAATGGTAGAAGGACCACTTTTTTACCCATCCACAAAAACTCGAAAGTATTATCTCTTCCTTTATGGAGAGCTTGAGTATCATATTGCCAAGACCTTCCAAGTAAAATATGACACACATCCATGTCTAACACATCACACACGATTTGGTCTTTATATGTTGCACCAATGGACAAAGCCACTGTGCAAGTGTGTGTGACATGAGCCTGACCCCCTTTTTTAATCCAAGATACTTTATATGGAGCGGGGTGAGGGGATAAAGGCAAGTGTAACGTATTTACCAACTTACTGGCAATGATGTTTTCAGTGCTTCCACTATTGATGATGACATTGTAGATTTTCCTGTTTATGGTGCATCTAGTTTTAAACAGAGCATGTCGTTGGTAAGTTACCTCTGTTTTAGGTATCAAAAGGACGCGTTGAAGAACACAGGAGACAGGATCATGTTCATCTGGTGCGGCATAGTCAACATCTTCTTCTAACTCTTCCCCACTGTCTTCGTGGACTTCTTCCTCATCAATGAAATTGATAGCTTTTCTTTGGGGACAATCATTGGATAAATGTCCGGTTTGTCCACACCAAAAGCATTTACCCAATGTTGGGCGAGAATACACATTCCCTTGTTTTTTCCCTGCCACACTATCAACTTGTTTAGCTTTAACAACATCATTGTCGAGGGACTTACCTTTAGGGGCAGTGGATGAAAGGTTGGGGGAAGGGGTATTGTCGCCCAGAGTAGTGGACCGTTTGGATGTGCCTCCCTGATCCCAAGTGCTGCGTTGTGCATATTGTTTCTTGACACGATTGCCCACCTGTTCTTCAATGGTGGTTGCGGTGGAAATAGCCTCATTGAGGTAACCAATTGGTTGCAAAGCAATCTGTTCTTTAATATCCGAACGTAAACCACCAATGAATCGGGCGACCAAATGTTGTTGGCTTTCCAAAAGATTGGTTCTTGCACCCAAACGATGAAATTCCTCGGAATAGTCAACTATGGATCTTGTCCCTTGTCGACAATTCTGGTACTGATTGTAGAAAACTTGTTCAAAATTAATTGGGAGAAAACGTTCACGCATGAGCTTTTTCATTTGTTCCCAATTACGGATGGGTTGCTTCCCATAACGATGTCTATTAACTTCTAGTTGGTCCCACCAAGCCGAAGCTCCTTCCTTTAGCTTTAATGCTACCAACCAAACCTTCTTGTGATCTGGAGTTCCCATATAACTAAAGAATTTTTCTACATTCTTAACCCAATCTAAGAATCCCTCAATATCCATCTTACCATTGAATGGACAGATTCTCTTTAGATTGTTCGAACTCTTTTCCATTAGGAGCAGTTTCGGACTTCTGGGATCAGAATATACGTTCGTGGAACATTTTGTTAAGGAGGTCTCTAAAGGAAGAGGAGTAAGAAGAGTTTACTACTCTTTTGTCAATTCTAAGCTCGGCTTCGATTACTTGTACAGAAGATCGAAGAATATGGACTCTCGAACCACCTAGTGTATTTTCGGTTGCATCTTTGATCATATAGCGGACTTCTTCTCCGATGGATAAGGACTTGTTTGCTGCTTCGTGAAAATCAAAAAGTCCAAGGAAAGTCAATGTATTTTCTTGGATTCTTCTTCAAGGGATTAAATACGACTGGAATTATTCAAAGAAAGCTTCCTTCAACTGCTCTTCTCCCTTCTCATTGTGTTCTTTGTGGTGCTAGTGGGGAAGATCAAAGTCATCTCTTCTACCATTGTTCTTCCATTGCTAATGGGTGGTCCTCTCTTCTTTCGTACCTTCCATATTGATTGGGTTTTTGATATAAGGCTCAAGACATTTTATTCCAGTTATTTTGTGGTCCATATCATTCTTCTTGGGCTGTTCGTTTATTATGGATCAATGTCGTTAAGGGTAAAAGCAGATCATTGTTCGAGTGTCTTTCTTCAGCAAAGTTCAAGGCTTCCCATTGATGCTCTCTTGCTGATTCTTTTTTGCATTATTCCCCAAATCTTATTTTCTCTAATTGGGATGCTTTTATCAATCCTTTGTAATTTGTTTTTTCTGTTTTATTTATTTGTTCTTTGTTTCACTCTTTCGGGAGTTTGTATCCTTTGAACATTTTTTATCGTTCCTTTTCATTCCATCAATGAAAAGTTCTTTGAAAGTCCTTCATGTAATCCTTTTGGGTCTTTTGTAACTTTATACCATCAATGAAATCGTTTCTTTCAAAAAAAACCAATGAAAAGTTCGTATCTTGTTAAAAAAAAAAAGTTCCCCTTTTTCACAACTTTAGCATTTCTTCTCTCATGTTTAGCTGGAAAAGCTTTCTGTAATCCCTTTTATAGGCAACTTTTGTAATTTCATATCATTAATAAAATTGTTTCTCTCTCTAAAGAAAAAATATTTTGAATTTGTTTAAAATTCAATATTTCGAATAACTCATTAAATGTTTTTATTACAAAAATATATTTTTGAATGTTTGTTCATGTTGTGTGTAACCTTTTTTTTTTAATTTCGAGTACAATAAAGGGTTGGGGGATTTGAACTCGTGACCTGTTGATCAGGCATGTATTAATTACCGCTGAACTAAGCTCATGTTGGCCATGTTGTGTGTATCTTAACTTTTTGAAAATAACATTCCATTGTATCCATATCATGTTGAACAATGAATATGCTTTCCAGGTAGCCGTCAACCTTGATCTAGATAGGCAGATGAATAAAATACAATTCATGCATATCGTTAGAGTTAACTACATTAGAAATATATATAAAGTAGACCAAGATGCCAATATAACTTCCACATCTAAGGATAATTATATCTTCATAAGGTCGCAGCCAGACAGTGAATTTATCAAATTAATTAGAGGAAACCCAAACAAAAGGCTTACCTGTGCCCTCAAACTGATGATTTCCTGGGTTAAACTGTCATTTGCACGCTTAGAATCCTCTGCAATGTCTTCGAAGGATTGAATCGGGCTCGTCATTCCCAAGACAGGAGATGTTGCTCGAGAAGCTAATCTGGAAGCAGGAATAGAAACTTATGACACTCTTTAGGAAGCTTAATATGGAGGAATTGATTCTCTGGAAGAATAATAGCCCCTCAATTTGAATTTTCCCATTTAAGGAGGTGAACAGAGGACGACTTTGTACCTATTGTTTTATATCATACCTGGACTGCATGCTTTCAGCATGATTGACAGCACCCAAAGACGAAAGTCTAGAGAGTGTTGCTTGCAACTTTGGAACCCACGACTCTTTATCTACGACACCATTAGATTTAGGGTGCACGTTTCCGGTTCTGGCTTTAGAATTTTGTGAAAGAGAATTGGACTCCATAGCCTTCTTTAGTTTAGTGAAACAATCATCACACACTCGATATGGCTTATTCAAATTTGGGGCTAAAGATGCTTTCAGAGATTTTCTGCTGCTGCATGCTTTGCAGAATACTAGACCACAGTTGTAACAGTTGTGACGCTTCCTTCTGAAACCAAATGGATTGTGACAACCGGAGCATACAGAATGGTCAGCACTTGATACCCACTTATGAAGACATATAACAGCGGTGAAGTTTGAACCACATGCTACATTTTTCACTTGCTTATCTTTCAGGAAATCTACAATAGTAGGTGTCTTTCTGTGATCATGGTCTCCATGGCCTAACTGACCATTTGAGCCCTTTCCCCAGGTATAAACCTCAGCTCTGGAGGTTAATACTGCAACATGATAAGAACCACAGGCAACCTCTTCAACAAAACTGTTGGCAATTTCACCTTCAACGCAAGTGGGAAGCTTTCCATCAGCTCCAGCACTTCCCAACTGGCCATAAGCAGTACTTCCCATTGAATATACCCGTCCCGATGTTGTTAAAGCAATTGTGAGATTATGACCACATGCCACTTGACATATATTTTCTTCAATTAATGCAGCTACACATTCAGGAACTAGTCTAGGCTCATTATCTCCATGTCCAAGCCGGTCTTTGTCACCATCACCCCATGTGTAAAGCTTTCCAGATGAAGGGTTAGCTGAAGTACCAGAATCGGAAAGCTCGTTAAAGATTTCAACAACAGCAGCAGTGTGCCAAACACCACAAGCAACTCTTATCGTTCTTAGCCCTGTCAAAGATTCCACTTCCCGTGGAATATTTGAGGTGATATGATCCCCATGACCCAAGGCTCCAAAAGAACCATCCCCAAATGTGAACAATTGACCAGCTGATGTCACAGCAGCTGTATGCCAAGCTCCACAAGAGATATATGATACACGAATTCCCTCCATCTGACCACTTACCTTTTTAGGAATGAAATGACTAACTTCACTACCATGACCAAGGAGACCATAATTATGAGTACCATCACCCCAAGTATAAAGATCCCCTGAAATTGTTACAGCACAAGTATGGTACTCTCCGCATGCTACTAATTCAACATTCATGCCACTGAGGGTATCGATGATTTTTGGATGTGAAACATCCACTTCCACACCATGGCCAAGTCTGCCTCCTGACTCCTCACCCCAACTAAAAATCTCACCTTGTCTAGTAATCAGTACAGCATGTCTGCCACCACATGAAATACCATGAACATCTAGAGCAACTGTTGACTCCAATGCCTTGGGTATCAGAGCATCCAGCTTGGAGTTTAATGAACATTGATTGCCGACCTTGTTCACACCACCACCCAGCAATCCATCCCCTGTACCTTCTCCCCAAATGAAGACATCCCCTAAGGCATCAAAATCTTCTGGACATGATCCTTGACTTGATGAGCTCACAGCACTGGATAAGCTAACGCGGAAACCCTCGGATGCAGAAATTCGGCCATTTGAGTTATCTACAAGCCCAGATGATAGAGAAGGATTGGAAATTGACTTGGCTTGGTTGATACTCTTGGAAACTGCAGTGTATGATAGTATTTCACAAAATGCTTTTCCTAGTCTATTCTGTGCATTATTTTCATAGGGAACCCCATCAGAATCTCCAGGATCCTGTCAATCAGAAGAAGTACAAAATGTAAATTAGGACTAAATACAAAGAATAAAAAACTGAGTACATATTGAAACAAATATAATTATCATTGAAATATAATTATCATTGTACAGACACATGGTGTAATGGTTGGAGAATTCTTTCGCAGGCGAGCATGTGAACCATCTGATGATACACTCTCACATCTTGATTCAGCTCTAAACTTGCGGAAGTTGCCTCGAGTGATCAATGCCTTGAGACCAACAAACCAAACTTCAGCTTCATCCTTGTCTTTACATATCTGTCCATCATTGATAAAATTAGTTTGTCAATTTTTTTTTTTTTTGGGGGACTAACAAATTTCCATTCTAGCTTCTAAAGGTTTCTGCAAAACTTCTTCAATCCTCATGTAGTAAAAGATATTATATCAATTGCAAGCACGTATGTGAAAACACAAAACAATTGGATGCAAGAGAACTTCAAAATTAGTGTTGAGTCAATGACACATAAATGGCATTGCAAGATCAAATAAAAAAATAAATGTTAAGGGAATCAACATTGTCGTCTCTTACCAAATCTAGTGATCTATCATTATACAAGAGTGAAAATGACTGATACTCTTTTTCAGGTTGTGGATGCTGCTGGAATATTGCCTGAAAATTAAATACACGTATACATCCTTTCAAATTTAGGAAACTAAAAAATGAACATGAAGTTTAGAAATTCAGAAGATAAATCCTTGAAAGACACTCTTAGAAAGTCTCAAACATGAACTTTTCTTTAATATTAAGCCAAGGCATTTTGATCATTGTTTTACGGAAAGTTATCTAAAACCGTACCAGCTAGTCTGAAAGCTAGTTTCAATATTTTCTTCACCCCAAACAATGTCTTAGAAGTCAATATTTGTATGTAAACTTACAGTACGCTGGCCGGGAATAATCTTTGAAACCAAACTTAATTTAAGCTGTTTCTCTTCTTTGCCCGAGTACCATATGAGTAAAGACTCGTCCTGTAACATTGATAAAAAAAATAATAATAAAATAGAATAAAATAAAAGATCATCCTATAACAGAATTTCAAGCCTGTTAAAAGAGAGAGGACAAAAAGATAATGGCTTTACTTAGTGTGGTTGGAGTCCACATAGAAAAATATGGATGCCTCAGTGCATGAGAACTAATAAGATACAATTTTTCATTGATTACATTTTTTCATCTTCACATTCTATATCATCAAGAATTAATAAGATACAAATGTTCTTATCATCAAAATCTGGAAATAATATTCAAAAGATTGCAATGCAGAAGTAAGTACCTATGTCACTTCAAGACTAACTCCAAAAGGTAAAACAAGATTACTAATGTAGCAAACTATTACACGTAGAAATCTTTATCATTCATATAAAAAGATCTTGAGCGATATTTCTGTGAAGAGTTTTACATTTGATTTAACCCTTAGAACATGGACAAAATGAACTATAAATACCACAAGTCATGAGAAAAGTAAATTGACTTATGCTTCAACGGCACTACATACCACCGAGATAACTATCTATCACAGTACAGCATCAATGAGATTAATAGAATTACTAACTGTTCTTTTGTTTTCCTTTGCCTAGAATAATCAGTTACAATCTTTTTAAATGGGAAAGAAGAGCTTCCAGTATAGAAAGATGATAAAGACAGCTATGATAAAAATGCAGCTTCCAAGACCACCAATACGAGTCTTTAAAAATTAGAAGAAAAAAAAAAGATAGCATTTGTGGGGGGAAATCAGGAATAAAAATTCAAGTTTTAGGTAGTTCAAAAGGCAGGGGAAATAAGAAGAAAGAAACGGGCATATAAAATGCTGTCTCCATCATTCATTTTCTTGCCAAAAAAGTTTTACCATTTTTCACCATTTGCCTTCAGGAAGATAACTACAGATAAATGATCTTCTTGTATTCGGACAGGCAATTACTACTGAAAGGTGAAAAGCCTGAACTTTTGACCTCACAGAAAATAACTTACACTTGAAAGCCTGAAAGGGCAGAACTTTGGCTTCCCCCTCCGTCCATATTTAAGTAAATGTGCCCCTTTCTTAAGCGCTGTAATGGCCTATAAAAATAAGGGGGTAAAAATCAGCACAGGGGAGATGAGAGAAACCAGATAAGAAAGGATATAATGTGAGCTTTTTTCTTCTCTCAAAAAAGTTGCAATAAATTCTTCAGAGGAACAAGAATAAAAACATGGAAGACCATGACATTTGATGGAATTCTCACGTGAGAACATCTTAAATACTAAACCATCAAAAACTTGACTTTAAACTAGTCACTCTACTCCACCCTCCAAAGCAGAAATCTCACCACACGACAAACGATAATCCATAGTTAGAACAGAGTAGTTTAAAAGACTGTAAAGGAAAGCATGAATCGCCTTCAATACAGAACATTTTCGAGCAGGAGTCACCTTAAATGGGTAAATAAGAACGTACAGGGAAAAAAGAAAAAGAAAATTTTTATATAATGAAACCAACCTGCTCGATATCCCTATGGGCGAGACCACCTTTCTGGGTATCGGCCATTCAAGATTCAAAATCAGGTGCTACTCTGGAGCAGACCAAACGTCCACTGGAAGAATAAACCCAAATGTATCTCAAAATGACAATCCCTGTCCAAAATTTGCGCCATGAAAAGCATTCTACTCATCCTCTCGGATGAAAAATCCCCTCATCTACCCCATGGAAAAATGCCCCGTAAGAAAATCAAAACGCGACGAAACTAAACTCCCAACACAATACTCCAACAGCTCCACTAGTCACTATTCAGCTAAAACCACCGCCTGTAATCTCAAAGGAACCCTAAAATACGCACAGCGACGAATCCCGACGAGTCTATTCGATTAATGGCGCATAATCAACGGCAGAAGACCATTCCGACCCAAATTACACGCAATATGAACCTTGGAGGCTAAAATTCACGCACATTAGATTGAACAGCCATACATTCATGTCGGCAATTTCTGATTAATCTCAACGCGCGAATGGGCGCCAAAAAGATCATAGAACAGAGCGTGGAAAATCATAGAGATCTGGAGCACCTCGCAGGTCTTTAATGTCTTCTCAACGTAAATTCCCGTGGCATTGAGAAATTGTTGACATGCGCCCTTTACCTGCGCTCGGTTTCTTCTCTCTCTCTGGTTTCTCTCTCTTGTCTGTATTGAGTTTTTGTCTGGGATGAAGCTTTAACTGTTTTTTTTATAATTGTCGCTCAATTCCAAACGACTTCTTTTTTTTCTCTCTCTCTCTTTTTCTTTTCTTCTCCCCCTCCCTTCTGCTTTTAATTTTGTATTTTGTAATTTTTTTTTCTCAAATGTGCCACGTCAGCAGAATGGGAATCTCTGGGATGTGGCAAATTTTGTCGTACTTGATGCACTTTTTGGTATTATTTTAATAAATGTCCACTACGAGACAAATCATGTGTTTCGGAGGACTGCAACACACCCTCTGCCACGTGTACACTTTGCAGTACATTTTGACCACTGTGTTTGACCAACTGATTTCCCGCCAATTTTAGTACAATTTTTCTTTTTTTTATTAAACCAATTTCGACAATGCGATCACGATGAGATCAGAAAATCTTTGTCGTTATCCTCAATTGTGTTTGCTGCCTCATTTGATGGACACTGTCGGATTTGAACTTTTACTTTTTGGTATTTCAACAACCATGTTGTCTAATTTACAACAATTTTTATTATGATTTTGTTTTTTCATGTTTTAAAGCCATGGTGCCCAAGAGACCTTCATGGAGCTCTAAGCATCCATCAACCATCACAACTCCGTCTTTGGACGACATCAAGTTTTACTCAAAGATTTTCGAGACTATTTAAGAGCATTCTAAGAAAAGATTAAGAGGTGTGAGATGATTGGAGTGTTGCGATTTGAACATCAAAATTATTTTATATATTTAAAAAAATGTCACCATCTTTTCTAATTTTCAAATATAGGAAAATATTATAAGGATTATTTTCGAATTCATATTTTACCCTCCCTATTTTTTTCAAATCTCTCGCAATTTCTTCTTCTTCTCCCGAATTGGTCTTTGTTACTAGTGGAAGTTGAAATTGAACCGTCGGGCAACTTGGAATCTACTAATCAAGGAGTGTACAATGAGAATCGATGTGACGGTTACAATATGGAAGGGTTGAAAGAAGGTTTGAAGAACTGGGCAAGATTTATGAAATATAAATTTGAGTCCTGGGTTTCTGCTCATTCTAATTTCAACAGACCCAAATAAAAGAATAAAAAAATAATTATTTGAAATTAGAGTTGTATCCCAATCCCCATTCAAATTGGAAGTGACAAAAATCGAAATCGAAAAATAGGAGAAGATAAAGAGAATCGAAAAACAAGAGTAAAGATGAATAAAGAAAATGAGAAGGAACATAATGGTGAATCAAAGATCATGCTGCAATTACTTTTACAAAATGGAAATGAGGAATAATATTATATGAAAAAAATGGAGGGGGAAGAGAATAGAAGAGAAATTTGAGAATGGAAGAGGGAAGAGGGAAGAGAAGAGAGAAGGTATGTCATTGTAATTTTATAGTTCTTTTAATTGAACAAAATATTGATTTATGTTAAAAATAAATAAATTTTGAAAGGTCGGATCCTTCGAGCAAAGTGAAAACTTTTTAAAGTTATTTGTGTCAATTTCCTAGTGCGAAGGGACTCTGGAGACGTGCTCGTTAGAGCTTTTATAGTGTCGGAATAAACCGATGTTGTCGTGTAGGTTCTCGTCAGGGGATGTCTTTCCAAAGAAAGCTGGAGGGTTACATGCGATAGAAAAAACAAAGGGCATTATGTGAAACACAAGGTATGGAGAAAGATGAAGATTAGAGTGATTTTTGGTAATTGACATTTTTTACCCTAACATACTTTCATTACTCTGCATAGCTCTTGGCCCTTGCTAAAGACTAAAATATCCTATCCTTATGATACAAATATGGATATATATATATATATCCCCTCAACTTGTTGAGACTTTATTCACTCTTCAACTTGTTATTTCCTTACCAAAAATCTCGTCACAAATTTCGGCTATTTCTCTCTTTACACTATTCCTATGGGATTTAATTAAAAAAAAAAAGGGCTAAAGTTTTGCCAGGATTCGGGCTCAAATTCAACTGAAAAATTGGGTTTGGGTTATTGACCGGTTGAAATTCTAATCACAATGAAAGAAACTACTAGTTTTTATGCATGAAATTGCATAAAAGCCTAAGACTTAGGCAATTTTAGTTTAAATTGAATAAAAGTCCAAGATTTATGTCATCTCAATTTAAATTTTATAGTCCTCACCATAATCATATTGGATGTGTTATCCTAAACTCGTAGTTTGTAATTATGTAAAAACAAATTTATATTCAATAAAGTTTTGGCTTCATATTCAATCAATTTGTTGTTGAACTTATGCATTGCATTGTCCAAATCCAATAAACTAAACATCTAAGGTTATTATCATGTAACTGTGACATATATATACTTGGTATATATTTGATATACCCTCAATATACAAGTGGATAATGTCCTGAGAATAACCTAAAGGGTCTATAATATATGGATAAGGCTCGGTACCTTATCCTGGCAACACTATGGATACTGTCCGCTTTGTAAATGTTATAGACAATCCAATCTAGATCCTTTGTGTGGAGATATGCAAGTGGAGGTATTCTATACAATGAGTTTGTATAAAACCGGACCGCGAAATAGCCAATCTTTAGATGTAAGGCTGTTAACTAACAGATTGCTATTTCATAGGATGACCAGGAAACTCATTCTCAATCCTGAGTGAGTTATGAACTCCTGCCTATAAGGGCTCGTCCTTTGATCTGTATGAGTGAGAGTGGCCCGAGTTGTCGACTCAACATTCCAACCATTTTGGGGACGAGACTGAATACTGGAGAGCTGGGAACATAACTTCACAAGACGAAATTCACTCCTCTCCGACTTTCGGGTAGTAGATGAGTGTTCTCTTAAATGCTGACTCTGGAACTTGAACAAAGGGCCTCACCCTCTCACTGGCCTGAGAGAGACGTCCGGTTATTGGTAGGACCATAATCGGGTTGTTCATTAAAGTAGCGTGGTATTTAAGGAATAAGATGTAACTCAAGAGTAAAACGGTAATTTGACCCAGCTTGAGTTACGAGCACTCGTGAAGGATTGATTTGCCATTAATAGTCATATATCCGTGGACACGAAAATATTATGCAGTGAGAAGAGTGTAGCGGCAGGTCTTTAGTGGAGTGACTCGTAGATAACGAATATTGATTAACTAAGTTAATGAGTTTGACCAATTAATCTCGTATCATTGGAGCTTCTCATCTGTACCTTCATTAGATTCCCTTGCTAGCTCACAACGGGTAAAACGTGGATCAAGGACTACAAAGTAATTTTAAATGTTCAAATTATATAAGGAACATATATAATATATATTGATACATCATATATAAATATATATTATGAGAGAAATGTTTCAACACGATTCAAATAATTAATATGAATTGCATATTAAAACTATAGATTATACAAGAGAGAATTTTTAAATATGATTCAAATATATAGTTTTAATTAAATATGTGATATTTAAATATTTAAATATTTATATATTTTGAAGATAAATAATTAATTGTTAACCATTTATATATTTATTTAATTAATATTTGAATTTGATTAATTAATAATTAATTAGATTAATAATTATTAATCAAATTAATTAATTAATTATTAATTAGATTAATGATTATTAATTAATTAAATTATTAATTATTAATTAGATTAATAATTAATTATATTAATAGTTAATTAAATTAGTTAAATGTTAATTAATTTAATTTCATTATAATTAATTAATTATGTTATTAATTAAATAAGTAAAATAAAACTCCCCTACATTTTGGTAACTCCCTGCATCATTTTCTTGTTAAAACGGTAGAATTGTTCTGTAGTTAGCTGGCTCTTGCTTAACAAAAATAGGAAAATATTTTCTCTACAAAAATTCTCTCAATTCCCTTTTGTTTTAAAAACAAGTGCTCCCACAGGCAAGTTCTTCGTTCCCAGAGGATAGCGATCGGTGGTAGTGAACGGATTTACGGGAGTTATTTGAAGACGATCTTAAAATATAAGTTCTTTCTTTTCCATGTATTTTCATTTTAATGTCTAGTTTTTCTATTCTTAAAATTCAAGAACACAAGATCGTCGTTTCCGTTGCGGGATTAACGTCCCTTCAAATCTCAGCTCAAGATTATGCAATCCCAGTTGAAATTGCATAATTGTGGTTCGAGATTTGAAGTTGCGCACAAATCGCATGAATCTTGTAAAAAGCCAAAACGCATCTTAGTCAGGATTGTCCGACAATCCAAAATTTATATAATTTTTAAATTTCTAATTAATAAATTTAGTCTAAAAGTCTAAATAAGTAAATGTTTTATTTTCTTTTTCTTTCTAACGAACATCCAAAAGATAAATTTAATTATATTCATTTCAAATTATTCTTATTTCAAACCACATAAATCATTTTAAATCATTTCTTGAATGTTCTCGATGTCAAATAAAGAGTAAGAGAAAGTATTGAACTATAGAAAATAAAAAATTAACTCATCGATTAATTTCATTGAATTTCAAAATAAATTACTTATAATATTGTCCTATTTTAATTGTTAAATAATAAATTTAGATTAAAAGCTTAAATTAATAAAGTTTTTATTTTCTTTTTATTTCCAGCTGACATCCAAACAACTAAATTTAATTATGTTCATTTCAAATTATTCTCGTTCTAAACAAAATAAAGAATTTTCAATCATTTCTCCGACTTTAAATCACGGAATTTAAAATCATTTCTTAAAACATTCTTGATACCAAACAGAGGGTAAGAGAAAGTATTGAATTATTGAAGAAAAAAAAACATGTCTGAAACTATCTGTGACTTTTTTTTTTTACGTATAATCCAAAATNATCCAAAATGGTTAAAACAAAGTTGTGATCGTTAAAAAATGTACTTAATTTTTGAAAAACAAGGGCAAGACTATATATTGTATTTTTTAATTGTAATGAAATAAAAAAAAAAAGAGTTAACTGTCATTTAATAAAAAAAAGTTTTCGTGACAGTTTTTAACATTCACAAAATCATAAAAAATCTGAAATTTATCGTTTTTTCTCGCAAAATCGTGCCTCCACCATTTCGTGACAA